AAAAAAAATGAAAAAAGTGAAAGGAATCGTCCAAAAGATTTCAGAAACATGCTCATAACTTTTGAACCGTATGACCAATGTCGATGATTTTTATATGTAAATTGATCGGAATGAGCTCACCTTTCCAACGCGCTTTCAATCGATTTGATCCGATCGATAGTTTTCGAATTATGAATGTGAACGTGAAGGTGATACTTCATAGGTGCGCAAAAATAACTACACGCAAAAACTTGCAGACTCGATTTTAACGATAGAGGTATGGTTCCTTGGGCAAATTTTCTTGGAATGACCCATAGAACACGGAAATCATAGGTATTTGGTCGATTTTTTTCACTCCCTACAAATCGACCCGCCCTAGTATTCCCATTTTTATGCTCAGCGATACAATTTAGACTATCTTACTTCCAAAACCAAAGCCTTTTCGTTTGATTTGATATCATCATTATGTTTTTCTTCAAACACGTTGACAAAATGGTCGATCAAATGACTATCAATATCTTCATGGCCTAAATGTGTATTATGGTTGCCTGAACACGGTTTGCACGCGCAAAAATAAAATTATTGAAATCAAATTTTGGTACGCAAACGGGAACATATTTTATTTAATCTGGTAATAGAAACGTAGCTTATATATATCGGAAAATAGAGAGTTCCTATTGATGGCTATTAGTGTGAGTTTACAGATTATTAGTTATGAAAGCTAACATTTTCAAATACTAGAAAGCGGAATAGTACTCAACACGTATTTCAAATGAAATGTTATTTTTTCACTTAATTTTTTTCAATTCAAGCATTTCGAAAGCCGTGTGCACTGTACATCGTAGCAACAGGTAATCGTAATTAATTCTTCCTCATTTTGATTTGCAACAGATATTTGAGTTTAACCTGTGCTGGATCGTAGACAACGAATTCATTGTATTTAAGAGGTTTTTCAAAGCGTGGCTCTGTCTGCGTACGAATGTCTCCGCTTTTAATTTTGACACCATCAATTCTGGTATCACTATGCGGAAAAAATTGACCAAATGCACGAATTGATTGGTATACATCGTTTGGGATGTTAGTAATTGTGTTTTCTGCATGTGTTTTCACCAATGATTTTCCCAATGCCACCTCGCACAAAAATATCAGGCCAATATTATTATAATCTTCACCGATGCAGTACCGTGTTGATTTTGATACAACATCTGCAAAATAGATGCCATTGCCAAAATAGCTTTTACCGGTTTCTCCTTCTTTAGGTACTTGTAGGCCAAACTTTAAAATTGCTGCAATGTTCGTTAAACGTGTACCGTGCCAAAGGAGCCGATGACCTCTTGGGTCGCTATATGGTTCTGGAAAACGTTGACACTCTCTTTCGCGCTCGAACTTGTATATTTGCTGAACTTCAAGTTTAACATTATGCGAGGGCCCATGTGTATCTCGTGCAATTCGACACAGCAACCTAAATTTCTTCGAATTTCTATCAAGTGGAACAATTTTCGTGTTGAGCTTCTTGTAACATTCGACAAATACATTAGTGCCAGGATCATGTTTTGATAGTTCAAGCAAGAATTTAACATTCAAGAAATTTCGCTTAGTGACCGCGTCTTGAAACGATAATTTATCACAAAAATCGTCGAATTGTTTTGAAGCCTCAGCGATGCTTTCCTTCGATTTACATTTCGTAATCTTTTCAAGATATTGTTCTATTTGGTAGCTCAATTCAGTTCCCAATTTTGCTGAGATGTTGCTTATGTATTCACGGTTGATCAGCAATTTCATCAATTCTTTTACTTCGGCGTCTAATCTGGTCGAGCTTGCAGCGGCCATAGTGTAGTGAGCGCACAAATCGTAGCTGCCTGCAATTAAGTTTTTCAAATTCAATGTCAGATGACTTGACTCACGTTCTCTATTCTTGTAAACTCACATGTGTGAACTACGATATCAAGCTATGGACTACTATATTTGACACGGTAAAAACTAGAGATAGACTTATAAAAACTGATGGATAAATCTTCGAGCAAAAGTAACACAACTCAGCAATGAGCGGTCTAGACGTTTTTCTACATTTTTCTCGCTACTGGAAAGAGATAGTGATTTAATGTTGTCTTCTCGATACTTAAAGTTCTTTTGATGTTCTACAATAAGGCTGTAGACTGAAGACACCTAGTCGGTAACTTTTTACAGTAACAAGAATAATGCAAGAAAAGTGTCTTCTCCGGTCATTTTCAAGTTGTGTCGCTTCTGCTCCCAAATATATTTATCTCATTTTCTTAGTTTTCTTTTGTATCAGTTATAAAAAATGAACTCAACAGTTTAACTCTTGCTTTGTGCGTTTTAATGGTATGCAAGAGGATTAGAATGACTTCAACTCTTTGTGAAAATAAATGCGCAAGATAAATTCAGTTTTTCCACATGACCGAGTGAACTATATCACATGAATGAATTTTGAATGAAAGTATAATTGACCTCAGTTGGCTGCAGAGTGCGCACACATTTTTTGGCAGCTAAAGTTAGTTGTAAGCCAAGTAGACACCGATTAAACTCGTCAAATTTTCAATCAAAATGTAAATACTTGGTGGCAAAATATTCGACTAGCCACTTAGTGGCAATGTCTTCGCATGGGAATGGACGTATTTGTTCGGAAAATGGCAGGAGCTTGATAACTCATATGTTCAGCAAAATTGTAGCCAGTAGCCGATGTCAAATCTCAAAAACTTGTGGCGCACTCTGAAATTGTCACAAATTTTAAAATTTGACTTTGCCTACAGCTTTCCTGAAAACACCGCACCTTCATCCATTTTCCAAGGAAATACGTTCATATCTCGATAAACTATACTCTTGTTACACTTTGAATTATTTTTCATATTTGAGGTCATTCTAATCGTCGTGTGTTCAATTCATAGCCATTTAATGTAACATATTTAAACCGAACCTGTTATAATTTGTAGACAATGTATTCTCGGTGACGAATAGACGTTCTGTTGCTGCTTGGCCTAGTAATAGGTCGAGTCTTTAATTTTACGGTTCTTTTTTATAGTAACTCTGCTTAATTCTTGAAAATTTTCAACTCGAGGGAGTCTGTGCACTGCTACTAGCTATTAAACTTCACAATGACTATTCGGAGTGACAATGATGTAAGCTCTGAAAACCAATGTCTTAGTACATTCAGCACAGGAGTCTCAAAACGAATTTTGCTCTGATCCAAAATGTTGATATTGATAACGCTTCAAAAGTGTGGCACATCTTTACAAAGTTCACAACGAGTTTCAAACTCCGAGCCATAGATGTGATAGATTATTGCGATATTTTGTCTTTCGATGCGCACAAACAACCATCTGAAAGCAAACAAAATGAATGTTTGTGGAAATTTCCACAATGAATCACTTTTATCGTCTGGCAGTTGAGCTCCCAAGTCAATGGACAATGGACATTGACTTGCAGCCAGGGCAACCGTGCTAGTTTATTTGCGCATAAATATGATCGATGTGTATTGTACAGTCAGAGTGTGAAAGAATGCCAGCAAAAGAAAGACCAAAACAATAGCAAACAACAAATGCCGATGCTCGTCTGCATTCGATTACAATGCGACCGTCATTGGATATACTCGTGTGAAAAGCAAATTATGCTTATCAAATCACACAAACGCATTGTTGTATAGATGGAGATCAAAGGTTTCAAGTTTCAGTGCTCATTAAACATTCATCGATTTATAGCTCAGACGTCATATGTAGAATACCAAATGAAATTGAATTAAAAAGATAAAAAAGAAATTGTAGAAATTTCTGAAGAATCATCTGAGCCGCACTCCTGGCAACAGAATTCCGTTGGAAATTTCCTTAAAGCAATTACAAGTTGAATTCCATCCGTTTGATTGCAAAGTTCTACATAGTGTGTACAGTGTACACGTACAGTGTACAAATTTACATGTATTTATGTCAAATATTTATCAAAACTCATTAACTTTGGACAAACGACATTAGATGTTAGTGGTCGAATTAAAAATCTCTCATTTTCAATATAATAAATTAATATCTAAAGAAATATCTGACAAAATTAAATTAAAACAATATGGATCTATACACATTTCGAAGAAAAATGTAAATCGCAATTAAAAATGTGGTGGCTATCATCTAATTTTCAGAACAATTTTCATTCAACGGATGAGATAATAAATGCTTCAAAAAACATACCCATAATTAAAATTCGAAGTCAAACCTAGGAGACAATTGTGTGACGTTGCAAGATCAATCCATATTCACCGATATGAGGCTAAAATTTGCTACTATAGGGCACATAGAGGCCCTTTTGATGAGGTACCAACCAGCATTTTCCATCAGAACGATCAAATTGACCACAAAAATGAACCAATATTGTTGAATAAATGGCAAATACCATGCCAAGTGTCGAAGATCTTAAGGCATTCAATGCATTCAGAGAGGATTGGGTGGTAAAAAATATTCCAAGTTTGATGTTATGGCGTTTTAACTGGCAAAATAGGCCATTTTCGACAGCTCACTGTATTGGTGGTGCCATCTGGAATAGAGAGTGTTATTTTTACCATAAGTCAAGTCTAGATTCTATGGTTGAGGTTCAAAAAATCATTCTAAATTCGATTTGGTGCAAAAATATTAGAAATTTACTGAAAAAATGCCTTAAAACTTTAGTGTACATAGACAATTTTGTGAGAAGTGAAAAACGAGTCTTACTCATGTTTGATCCAAAAAAAAATTATATGTCCACTATTTCTACCAAAAAACGCATTGATATCTGCTAGAAGAGTCAGTCTCTTAGATAGATGCTCTTAGTATATCACTCAATTTGTGAAACATGAGATTTTTTTCAAGAAAAAGCAAGGTGTACAGACAATTTTGTGAGTGACTGTATGTATTATTAAAGAATATTAGAATTAACTTTGAATATAGCACTTTTCAGAGTGATTTCAATGTTAGCCACCCACAATCACAAAGCAGTGCAAGTGAAGACATTAAAACCTCAACACAGCTCGTGTAGTGGAACAATATTATATAAAATGACAAAATCAATTAAAGTTCAGAGTTGATTTTGTATCAACACATTTGCCAATCACCATTTCTACCAGTGAGATGTAAAAGAACGTATGTTTTTTCAGCTTTTTTCCCAGCGTGGATTACGAGTAACTGAAATGAGATAGCCGGTGACGTGCAAAGCATGAGGCATGCGAATCGCTTTGCACGCCGCCCGGTAATAGCAAAAAGTTGTCTCCACCCGGCGGCGTGCAAAGGAAATTTGCCGCCCGAAGCAAATTGCCGCCCCATAATCAAAATTTGAAGAGCAAAAAAAGGTCATCACTTTTAAAACTCAATTCTATCTAGTGCAAACTCCAATTTTGCCGCCCTCACAAAAATGCCGCCCGAAACAATTGCTTCGCCAGCGTCGTGCTTTGCACGCTACCGTCTCCACCAATGTTGTAGAACACGACTAATACTATGACTTTGCCGAAGATTATTTTCCGTTATCTCATTTCAATTACTCCTTATCCACGAGTGGAAAAAGGCTGATACAAACATACATTCTTTTACTTCTCACGAATAGATTTATTCCATTCCTTATAGAAAATATCTGTTAAAATAAAGGCAGAAATAAAAGTCAACTTCCTTCTCTTTTTGCTTCAATTTATTTCGGTTTTGTTTCATTTGGAAATGGAGTTTAAATCTAAAGTAGTGTCCATGTATTGATGAATATTGAATGTTATTCAAACAGATTTCAAAAATTAAATTGAATAGAAAATGTTCAAGTGTATGAAAGTGTAGGTACTGAACTGTGTACTAATGTGTATATTCAAAGGCATCGAATGCAAAATCAATTTCCATCTCAGCTACTTGTTGATAAATCTATGTCTTATGCATATATGGTGGACTCTTTTCATGTGTTGATTGGCGCTACTTTTAGTGGTAAAGCTTGCTGCACACACTTTGCATTGAATCCGTTCTCCGGTGTGATGTTTTCGCATGTGAATCTTCAATTCGTATTTGTCTCGACGATATTCCTTACACAAATGGCATTGATAATGACGATGCCCAAATGAACCATTTGCGGAGATATCCAGTGTACAGTGGAGCTGTGCGGAGTTCGGCGGAGATACCGTACATACGCTATACGTGTGAGCGAAACAGCACTCTTTGCTGTATTTACATTTCTATTGTTCAATACACATCTAAGTAGCCATGAGCTGCTTTAGATATAGTGTATGTATGGCATCTCCGCCGAACTCCGCACAGCTCCGCTGTGCACTCAATTTCTCCGCAAATGGTTCACATGGGTGGCTACAGTTAACTTCATGAACCTCTTTTCCATCTTCGGTTGCGAATCCTCCGAGGCACTTGGAGCATTGGAATGGGAATTGATCGCTGTGTGCTGATGACAAATGCTGTTTTAAATCAATCCGTTCGACAAATTTCTTGCTGCAAATTCCACATTCGATCGATCGTTTTGCTTCGTGTTTTGATTGCATGTGCTGCTTGAAATTAGTCTTGTGGACAGTTTTGTAATGACACTGATTACATGCGAAAAGACTTCGTTGGCAGCGCGTTTCGTGTGCTTGCTTATCTTCTGGTGTGGCAAATCGTCGACCACATTTGGAACAAGCATTCGGCAATTCATCTTTGTGGACCATTGAATGGCTTTGAAGATCAAATTTTTTTGCAAACGACTTCAAACAAATTGTGCACATGAACGGCTTTTCCCCGGTGTGAGTTCGCATATGTTTCGTCAAATATGATTTTTTGATTGTTCTATATCCGCAAATATCGCATTCGAATCGGACAGGATTGCATAACGCTTCGTGGTCGATCTTGTCTGATTTTTGTTCAAATCCTTGATTACATTTCGAACAACGGAATTGACAATGCGTTTTCTTATGCTTGTTCAAATCAAATTTTCGCGCAAAGGACTTCGAACAAACATCACACTGAAACGGCTTTTCTCCAGTGTGAGTTCGCAAGTGTCTTATGAGTTCAGCCTTGCAGTTTGCCAAATGATTGCACACATGGCATTTATGCTTCTTATGCTTTTTGGCCGCTTGATTTCTGGGAATCGTTCGTTTGTTTTGCTTTTTGAGGCTTCCATTCCGCTTCTTCCCACTGTCAACTGATTCCGGTGGTTGAACATCGATTGGCTCTTCGTTGTCATCATCATTGGCGGCGCCATCATCCGATCTTTCACATGGCTTCGAGCCTTTTTCTTTGCTCGCTTGTTCTTCACATTTGATCACATCTTTATTCTGATCGAAGTCATCGACAAAAACGAACGGCTCTTCGTAATTCACACGATGTCTTCCATCAATTCGAGGCCGCGGTATGTTCATGACATCGTCACCGTTGTTGGGCTCTTCCTTGATCACCTTCAGCTCTTGCTTGACTTCAACCTTTGCGAACTTTGACTTGCGCTTGCAGCGTTCACCAGAACCACCTTTGAATGGGTTCATTTCCTAGTGGGAAAACCATATCAAAAATCAATAAACCAAACTTAAAATCAAGTATCAATAGCTTAATAATAATGAAAATAGTGGTTCAATCTAATGCAAACCACGTACTTGACGTATCTATGCATGGAAAAATTATGTATAAAATGTGCACTCAGCAAAAGTTGGGTTATGTATCACCGATTTTCATGTGCATTTATTGATTTTCACAATTTTCCACTTTTTCAATCGAACCACAAAAACTAAGTAATCAAAAAATAACATCGAAATGCTTAAAAAATGAAGATTATTCAACTCTTACGTTTGTCGTCGGCTTTTTTCTCCAGGAAATATGTCTTTCACGTTTCTCACAAAATGTCTGCCTCACTCTGTGGTAGAAGGAACAATCTTGAACAACGAACATGTAAACCACAGCATCGAAGCCGATTTTTACACGCTTGCAAGTGCACTGTTTGTGTTGGTGAGTTTCGGTAAGTTCTCAATGACGCAAGGTGACACTTCATCTCCATTGGTAGCTCTCAGTTGAGCAAATTCAGAGCTTAGTTCAAAAGTATCGGTTAAATGCAGTCTTGCAAATCAGTAGACATCAATGTACTATACCAGCGGTATATACCGAAGTATACTTATATACATAATATGAAGAAGAGCTTTTTGCAACTAAGAATAATGATGCAAAGTCATTAAAAATGTTTGAAATGTCGAATTTTAACAAGTTTGACAGTTTTTAGTTTTTTGAGATTGTTTTTACTATTTATAGATTGTTTATTGATTCTAAAGGCATGGTATATTATTTGTTGTATA